CTAATTTTTGTGATGAAATACGAGATTTCATGATCTGAGAATAGCGGGCTTTGACGTTAAACAAAACCTTTTTACAATGGTTCCTAGCAGTAATAAACAGACGTCTGTTTTCTGGAGAATTGTTTTGCTGATAGATATGGAAGTATTGGTTTCGATTGGCAATTGCAGCAGCACGATGTGAAGAAAACCATGGAGAAGAGTGAGGCTTGACCTGGAATCGTCGAGAGGGAATAAAGGATTCCATGCCAGCCTGAATCCACGAAGTTATGTAAGAAGCACATTTGTCAACAGGTAGACGAAAGACTTCTACCCAGGAGCCATCACGAAGAAAATCACGGAAAGAGTCCCAGTCAGCTTTAAGGTAGTTGTAAGATGTACGATGATAGGGGGATTCTGATGGTAAAGAAGAATGAGATAATAGTTTTAGACAGACCAAACCATGATCAGAAGCACCTAAGGGTGAGTGTGAAGAAACTGAGCACTGACTAGGATCAGAAACAAGACATAAGTTGAGTAGAGAAGGTAAATGATTCGGGTTGTCTGGAAAGCGAGTTGGAAAGTTGACTATTTGAGTTAGGGATTGAGAAAGACAAAAGTTGTGGGTCTTAATGCCTGCAGAGTCACTGACACTAGAGCCAAGCCATTCAGTGTGATGAACATTAAAGTTGTCAAGTAATTAGCTCTGAGTTGTCAAGTAATTAGCTCTGATGTTATTAGTAAGACCAAGAGTAAAAAGACAAGTATCACCAGGACACAAGAGTAAGTAAAACAAGTGTTTTTTTTTAATTTTATTTTTCAGTATTTTTTTATCAAAAATGTAACGTGTGGGTTTTCAGTACAACTTTTTTTATCAAAAATGTAACGTGTGAAAAGATATACTCATTTAATACATTATTAGCGTTTAGTTTTCATAAGAGTAAAATAGTTCTCGTAAAATCCTAAAAAACTAATGTCAAAAATGTTAAGACTTTTTTGAAAAATAAAACAAGATCACGAGGCAATGAAAATAGTTGCATAAAATTTAAACACATCCTCAACATATCCTCGCATAAATTACTGTCTTTGTGCCAACATTTAAAATTATTTTTATTACTAAAATGTAACAACGGCTAAAACATGGCACAAGTTTTTATTGGAGCTTAAGCACTACTTTTACAAATAAATCCATTAGCTTTTATGTTGCTTGTAGCACTTATGGTTTAAATTAGCTTTTATGTTGCTTGTAGCACTTATGGTTTAAATTAGCTGGAGTATATGCAGTTGAATCATATGCTAAGAATTTTTGGTAAAATCTAGTATCTTTCCGTATTCTTTAGCTACAACCCATCTAGCCGGACAATTCTGCCAGGATCTTGCAGAATCTCGCTTTAGAAGTATTTGGACACTAAAAAACTAACCCTGAAACAACCACAGGAAATTACTGCTGTCCTCATTCAAATTGTAGATGATCTAGATCTTACCAATGACACGCTAAACGGAACCATGATAAACCTAGAACTGCAGTTTCCTTCCATAAGATCTCCAAAAAAACTATTTTAGGGATATTATGGAACAAAAGCGTCTATTGGATACTTAAGTTAAAAATGAATTGGCTTAGTCTCTGTTGTAGGATATATTGTATATTCACCAAATAATGCATTTTAGGTTGCTCATAGTTGTAATTTAAAAATCTTGTAGGATATTTATGATTACTTTTATTGAAAAGTGTATCAAATACTCTTGGATTTTTTTTTAAGAATTGTAATGATTATTAAATAGTTTTCTAGAATGTGTAAATGGGTTCACTTCGCAATAATAAGAATCGTATACTTAGAGCTTTTTTTTACCCAAAGTCTATTCAGTCAGCTGATTGTAATACCATTTTTTTTGTTTTTTAAATTGTATTTTTATATTTACAAGCAACATTTTATAACGGTCAAACAAAAACTTTTTTGTTTAACAATAGTAAGTCAAATATATTTTCTAGTTCAAGAAACTAACTTTGTTGGAACAATAACTATTAAAAGCATCATAACGTAAGCTTCAAAAATTTAGTCCTAGTGGAGAAAATTCCCACTATATAGAATTTTCCTTTGTAACTAGAGAACATCTTAAAACACAAAAACACCTATTTTTAGTTACCTTTTTCGTTTACATGACTAAAATGTCTTTTTTTTTTGTGAAGATATTTAGTTTGCCCGATAAGTGTTACCTTTTGCGCACTATCCGGTTTGTGGTACTTATATTCTCTAAACAACAAATATCTTTTAAAATTTATTATAAAAATAAAATTATTGTAATTGTGATATTTAATTGAGAGAGCTGCAAATAAAATTAAGAGAAAAAAAATAAAAACAAAAAAAAAAGTAGTCCCTTGATTGTATTATCCTTCTCTAATCCCTTAGGGCTTTGGGAAGTGATAATGTTTAATAATTTAAGTAAATGTTTATTATATTTTTAGATTTAGATTCCATTAAAATACTTTCTTTTTAATAGATATTTTATTTCATTTAATATTTTGATTATTTTAATTGATAATCTTGATAATTTTTTTATTTCTTATCTATGAATATAGCATTCAAATATGAAATATAAATGAAATAACTTTAGTAAAATATTTAAAACAAGCTGATAAAATTTACTACGTTCTCACTATATAGCTCTTTTTAAACTTTTTAAAGTTTCTGTCGATAAAATAGTTTCTGTCGATAAAATAGTTTCTGTCGATAAGTAAAAACAATTCGAGTTATCAAAAGTTTTGATCTCAAGGGTAAAAACAATACTTATTAAATTAAAAAAATTTCTAACGCCACTTTATCTTAGTTTTGAAGAAACGTCTTTATCAAATATAATTGAGACTGTATTGAGCTTTTGTTGAACATCTTCACCCGTGAGACTGAAGGCTATATAGTCATACTTGCAGTGCCTCCCAAATATCACTGACCTTTGGGCAAACTGGATAGATTGCATTATCATCATCATTTCCTTCCTCGTCATTAGCATCGATTTCATTCGCTGAATTTTTAACTTCTTCAATCAACTGTTTACGTGTAAGTAAAGGTACTGTACTAATTAAGTTTTCATCTAAAATAACAACTTCAGCAGCTGTACCTGAAGGGTAAAAGTTATCAAGTTTTTCAACCTAATTTTGAACCTCTTTAAAGGGGTCGTCGTTCTTATCCAAATGGGCAGATTTCTGCCGATCTTTGGAAATTGCTGCTTTTGCAAAACAATTATCGACGGTGGAGATTTTCACTTTTTACCATGCAAGGTCAAGCATTTTCAAGATCTTTTCTTTTATCGATTGCTACGGCCAGCCTTTGCAATGCCACAGATCTGTAATAAATTTTCAAAGAGCGTATAACTCCCTGATCTATTGGTTGAAGTTTAGATGTGGTATTTGGTGGTAAAAAATGATCTCATTAGATTATAGATTATCAACCGTTGGGTGTACTGGGGAGTTATCTATTATGAACGCTATTTTCTTTTTTTCTTTTATAATTTTTGTATCTATTTCTCATATCTACTCTTCAAACAGTACGCTATCCATCCAGCTTTTATTTTGATTTCTGTATCTGCAAGGTAAGTGCTTGACTCCTTTAAAGCAGCAAGGTGATTTTGATTTTCCTATTACAAACATAGGAATTTTATCACTAGCTGCGACCATCCCTATAAGACAAATTTTACTGTGCTTTCCCTCTATACCGTCTCAGATCGAAGATTTAGTGGTTTATTAGGTTGCACACGAAAAACAGTTAAGAAAGATTTTATCACGTGAAGAAGTGGTTATAAATAAGTTAAGAATTCATGCAAAGAAGTGAATATAAAAGAACCAAAAAGTTAAGAATTGATAATAAAAATGCTAAAAACATGTTGTATTTAAAATTGTACAAACAACATAATGTAAAGTAATGTAAAGATTAATCTTAACCACTTTACTTTTTTCAACTTTTAAATTTGAATTGTGTACAACTTTTTTTCGCAAATTAACCCCCTAACTATTTATAATAAACGGGTTTGATCCTTTTTAGAAAAGCGCTTTTGTTTTTTTATAAACTTTTTTATATACTTTTGGTTTTTAATAAAATATGCTGCATTCTGAAAATTTGCTGCAATTTCTAGGCAAATGTTTTTGAAATAAGACTTAAAATTAGGTATTGGTAAATACTGATTTTATATACACTCATCAATTCTACGTCTCATTAAGGCTTAAACATGCTTATGTTCGTTTTTTTTCCATAAATGATTTTACGGGTATGTTCTTGCATACTAAGTGTTTTTTATTTGTAGCTTGAGTACTTGTCGATGTAATATTGGCAAATTTATCAAAATTCTATCATATATTATTTTGAGACTTGGCCAATTTAACTATGAAATGCTTTTTAAAAAAGTCTGTTTCAATCCCACTCTAGTTGGAACAACTAGAGTGGGGTTAAAGCAGACTCCTTTACAAATCCGACATTTGGATCTCAATTAAAGCTTGTTTTACAATTTTTATGTTTTTTACACTGTCCACAACTTATCAAGTTATCTCCTAAGGATGTACAGAATTTTTTAAACATGGAAATAATGGTGCAAGCTCAACATTGATTACAGAAACTACGGTACCAAAAATATAGCAGATATATTTTTAAACGGTTCTTGCTTATGTCAGGTAGTAGATTTAGTAAGTAAATATTCAAAATCAAAAGAAACATTACAATAATTAAAAACAACATTGATCTGTTTTTCAAGCTGCAAAGAGAAACCTATAATGGGGTGTAAAGGGAGGATTGTCTAAGACACCACTTAGTTTGAGAGCCTCCGATCAAAGACAGAGATTTTTTCTTTCAAAGCTTTAAGGTAATGTTTCAGTTTCAGAAAAATATTTTTAGATTATGAGCCTTCCAGGGTAAATTAATCCGTCCCGTGTCTCTGGTCAGCTAAGAATAGCTCTACATTTTTCGGGTTATTTTAGTGAAAATTTATAATCAATTTTTCAAAAAACAAAATGTTTAAAAAATATTTCTTTTAATAAACATATAATTTCTATATAAATATAAAAAGTCCACTAACAACAATTATTTTACAAATCATTAATAAAAAGCTACAAATACCAACTATTTTAAAAATACTAACCATTTTACAAATCTCTAATTGTTATTTATAATTACAAATCTCTAATGTTTATTTAAAGCCTCTTGCCTCAGGGCATCAGCTATCAAATCATTATAAACTTCTTCAGGTGCATCCATTCCCCATATAAAATCGAGGTGCATCCAAGAATCAATCACTTTATGAGATATTATTATTTCTTCAGGTAAAAGGTCTAAGAGTTTGCTGACATCATTAGAATCTGCTAACCAATCATTTCCACCAGAATACATCACAGTTGGTATATGAAAGTTAGAGATATTGTATATAGGCGGTGTTGACTTAAATGAAGCAATTTTTAAACTTTTATAATTATTGTTAGTTTTAAGTAGAAAATAAAATATAAGTAAAACAAATAAAAATAATATGTGTAAATATATAAGTAAAAGATAACTTAAATTTTATTATTTAATAATTTAAAGTAAAAATATCCAAACTACTTACTTGATTGTACTTTTTCAAATTCTCTTTTTTACCCCAGTCATACATTTGAAATTTCTTTGACATGTACAACTAAAAATTATTAAAATTTCAAAATGAATATATTTCATGGTTATTTGCAATCATTCCAGACTTGCATTTAAAAAAAATGATTAAAAATTTAAAACCTGTTCAAAATGAATAATATTTTGCACTGAAGTGCCTGCTGGAGTATGCGTTATGTAAACGTCAAGTCGCGACTAAAAACAAATCAATATCGAATCAAATTAATTAACCATACTTGTATATTGGGATCCAAACGGACCCCACGAATAGTTTGTATTTGCATTATATATTAATGTAGTTAGTATTTATTTTCGTAATTTTATGTATTTGTTAAATATCACAAAGCGTACAAAAACCCAAAAATATTTTTTGAACATTGCTTCTTTTTTTAGTGTTCAAACTTTGGGGTAAAATTATGTTGGGGTCCAAATGGACCCCAACATAATTTTCCTTATAAACTCGATGGTTTTTCATAACTTATGCTTTTGAAAAATATATTTTCTTTCTGCTTGTAACTTAATCTTTTCCTTTGATAAATTTAGATTTAATAACAATTAGAACTTATGGTTGAAAATAAAAAAAGTTTTGCATCACTTGATAGAGATCTATCAAGTGAAGAAGACTTAACATCTGATGATAAAGAGGAAAAAAAAGAAGATATTGAGTCATCAGATGATACTGATTTTCATCAGATGATACTGATTTTCAAGTAGATATTTCTGCAACTTTAAAAGTAGAGAAAAAATCAAAACCAGTATTAGGAGCTAGAAGATGTAGAACTCTTGGTGGAAAATGTCATGAAATTAAAGCCAGGATAAACACCATATGCAATACGTATGACAGATTCTATAAATACTGCTTTTCGACTTTTTTTTAACCCCAAAAATTAATATAGTTTTAACTAAATCAAACAAAGAAGGTGAAAACTACTATTAAAGAAATGTGGGCACCAATATGTGAACATGAAATAAATGGGTTTCTTGGACTTTTATTTTTGGCGAGTGTTTACCAATCAACAGGTGAAGCTACAGAAAAGCTATGGGACATTAGTGATGGCTAGCAGATTATTTGTGCTGTAACAAGTCGTAAGCATTTTCATAACATTTCAAGAGTTTTGAGATTTGACGACAAAGCTACTTGATCATTAAGGTGCAGCAATGACAAATTTGCAACTATTTGTCAGGTTTTTGACATTTGGGTACAAACACTTTCAAATAATTTTAGACCATATGAAAAATGTTGTTGATAAACAGCTGGTTCTTGTGGATGTTGTTCCTTTAGACAATATATAAAATCCAAACCGGCTCACTATGGGTAGTTCAAAGTATTTCATGATTTAGTTGTTAAAAGTTATAAAAAGATCTGTATGAAATGTTACAATAGACAACTTTTTCACATCAGTAATATTTGCACAAGTGCTTTTGGAGAAAAAATTAAATCTAGTTGGAACAATGCGCAAAAATAAAAAATAAACTCCTACAGAATTTTTATCTGCTCAAATATGAGAAGTATACTCTTCAGTGTTTGGCCAACAAGAACAATTAACTATAATCTCTTACGTCCCAAAGAAAGGAAAGTTGGTCATTATGCTGAGTAGCAATCATCATGATGTAGAGTTATAAACTGTCATGACAAAAAATCACTGATAATTCTAGATTATAATTCAACTAAAAGGGGAGTGAATACTTTTGACTAAATTGTCTCTACCTTTTCTACAAAGAAAATGACCTGCAGGTAATTATAAATATAGCAATACTCTATAAAAGTTTATGAAATCTATTATTTGTTTGTCTATTTTTTATAATTCAGGTGACCTATGGTAATCCTTTACAACATCCTAGACAATTCTGCTGCTAATGCTTTTGTAACTTGGATGCATCTAAATCCTACATGGAATAAATAGAAGCCTCATCGCCGAAGATTGTTTTTAGAAAAACTATACATTTGTGTTTAGTTTTTAAAAAAACTATACACTGCAAGTCAGGCTATTTGTCGACTGACAAATAGCCTGACTTGCAGTGGAGTGCTGCTACATTGACTGAGGGTTTGGGATGGGGAAGCAATCGTTTTATTCATCATTCTTTGTTTTTTCTTCTTCTTTTTCGAAAAAACGGTATAGCTTAAGGTAAGCAGAAAAAGTGAGCAAATGCTTATCAAAACACGCTTTAGTAAGTGTTTATATATATATATATATATATATATATATATATATATATATATATATATATATATATATATAAACAAGCATATGACATATGTATGTGTACCAATGGCATGTAACCCTAACCTTAATATATATTAAGGTTAATATATATATTAAGGTTAATATATATATTAAGGTTAATATATATATTAAGGTTATATATATATTAAGGTTATATATATATATATATATATATATATATATATATATATATATATATATATATATATATATATATATATATATATATATATATATATATATATATATATATATATATATATATATATATATATATAGTAATTATAATAATTTAAATTATTTAATAAAATTAAGATTTAAAAGTTTTAAATCAAAAAGAGAAAAGTTTAGCAAAGTAAAAAATAATAAGAAAATATTAAAAATAACAATAGAGATATAAAAAAATAATTGAAAAAATAGAAAAACTTTTTTTTCAAATACTCGTTTTATTTAGGTAAATATATTTAACTACATTACTATATTGTTCATAAATCTAGTATGTACAAAAACTTCTAATTGTGGGATTATTATAGTCACAGTGGTAAAAACATCAAACCTACCAGGTAGGTTAGATGTTTTTACAACATTCTTTTTACAAGGTAACCTTGTAAAAAGAATGTTGTCTGTGAGAAATACAAACTGATGCATAACAGATCTTTTTGAGGAAATGAAAAAAAAAGGGGAGTGGGTAAAATAAAAAAAAATAAACTTTAAAACAAAACTTTCTTTTTTCTGTATTTATGTGAAAACCATTTGAGTTAAAAATATTTTAGATTAAAACAATTTTAATGAAACAAATGAAATTTTAATAAAACCATAATTAGCATTAAATTTAAAAATGTCAAAAGCTCTTAGAAACACCAACAATTGACAAACCTTGTTCATTTGTGGTATATCAAAACCACAAATTACGAAAACAATGTTAGCACAAACATCATCAATCAATATTTGGCTACACATGTGGGAACCTAGCCATGATATTATCCATGATTGAGGCAGAAAATCTCGTACTCCAATTACTTTAAGCAGCCACTAAAAAAAAAAAAAAACATGATTTTTATATCTAATATATAAAAGATTAACATTTAGAAAACATTTAGAAATATAAAAAAAAAAAAAAAATAGAAATTCACAAGTTATGAATTATAATAGATACGACTATTAAAACAATATTTTATAAATAAAGATATATTTTTAATAAGTGTGCCCTAAAAAGGGGTACATTAACCAAAATCAAATTTTGAGTTTTGATTTAATGTTCCTAGACAAAAAATAGCTTGTTTTATATTAATATATGCACTGATGTATGATTCAATGTCAAAGACAAAAATTGTTTTTTTGTGAGGAACATCCTTTTTATCAATAAAATTTTTTTAAAGAAAATTAATAAAGTTCATTGAAATTATTAATTTTATTTTTTAGATTAATAAGATAAGTTTATTAGATTCATATCCATTTTAGATTAGATAAGTTTGTTAGATTCGTACCTTTTTTTAAACTTTATCACATGCAAGTAACAAGGTATTTTTAGGACAAAATGATACACTGGCACATTGACACTTAGACTCTAATTAGATTTTTATAAGATATTCAGTGTTTTATGCAAAATCTATCAGTTATCCAAAGTATTAAATCAACATGAACACAACAGTCAATCTCGAAATATCATGTTATGACTTAAAGCAATTATCCAAAAAAATAAAAATAGAAAATAATGCTAAACAAAAATAAAATGATCAAAAGGTTATCTAGTCAGTAAGCACCAATTTGATAGAAATCTACTATTTCTTTTTCTTTCAATTTATAACCAAATTATTTTGTTCAGGCTCACAATTACTTTCTACACTTAGCTTCTGTAGACTCATTCTCCATTTGCCAATGGTGCAGATCTACTAAACTTATTGCCACAGCTTTTGAAATTTTCCCTATTAAAATTTGTTGTTGTTACTGTTTGATGTTTTCTTTACATTCTTATTTTTATTATTATCCTTAATTCTTATTCTATTTATTATTAAAATAATCTTAATTTTAATACTCTGAAGAATAAAGTTTTGTAACCAAAATAAAGTATATAATGTATAAATATAGTATTTATACATGTGAACATGTAGCATATACACCTTTGTGAATGTGTAGATTCAAAACAAGATACATTATGAGAGGAAAATAAGTTATTTTTTAGTTTATCACGGATGCTGCTATGGATTCTTATGCTACTTAAGAGTTTTTTAAAGCCTAAATATGAATCAAAAAATATTTTCTATTATTTTATTTGTTTGTTGCATAAAAGTAGACATATAAAAGGGTGAACTCCCATCTGTAAAAAATGCATTTATTTTTATTTTTGAATAATTCTTTGAACTCCTACTAGCTTAGTTGAAACACCTCATATATGCTTATTACATTTAGGTTCAATTTCTTAATGGCGAACTTCGAGCAAGAGCCTGAAGTTTATAAACTGAAACTGATATATTTTAATAAACTTGATTTACCATTAAATCAATGGCAGAAAATTTAAAGTAAATTTTATACTAATATTTAAAAAATTATAGCGTGAAATTTGGAGTATTTTTTCTGGATGGAAATTTTTTTTATAACATTTTAAAAAGATATTATACTAGACCATTTGTTGAAGATTTTTGAACTGACTTAGTGCTAACTTGTTTCAATTTCAGAAGCACGAAGAAATCAAGAAAACAGAAACATCTTCATTTAAAGTTTTAGCAAATCTTCATCTTAAATAAAATTTACAAAGTTAACAGATTTATTTAAAAAGTTGTGTTAATTTATAGAATTCTTAGTACAATAGCACAGCGAAATGAATCAATTTACAAAATTCAGAGTGCAGAACCCCCTATAAAAAACAGGTCTACTCTGGCATAACACATTTGGTACTGGCAAACACATCATAAATAATGGAATTTTAATCTAGTCAAATAAGTAACTTTTTACTTATTTATGTAAAAAACATTTCACGTATTTTAGTAAACTATGGAGTTTTCAAATTTCTAGTAAGAAGTAAATTTTTTCGGAATTTCATGCAAACTCTTTATATTATAATTTTATATTTTATGTTGAGTATCTAGCAAACTACAAACACAACTACAAACATCAGAAACAAACATCATAGAAGCCTACTACAAACATCAGAAACAAACATCATAGAAGCCTACTAAAAACATCAGAAACAAACATCATAGAAGCCTACTACAAACATCATAAACAAACATCATAGAAGCCTACTACAAACATCAGAAACAAACATCATAGAAGCCTACTACAAACATCATAAACAAACATCATAGAAGCCTACTAAAAACACCAAAAACAAACATCATAGAAGCCTACTAAAAACATCAGAAACAAACTTCAGAAACAAACATCATAGAAGCCTACTACAAACATCATAAACAAACATCATAGAAGCCTACTAAAAACATCATAGAAGCCTACTATAAACATCAGAAACAAACATCAGAAACAAACATCATAGAAGCCTACTACAAACATCAGAAACAAACATCAGAAACAAACATCATAGAAGCCTATTACAAACATCAGAAACAAACATCAGAAACAAACATCATAGAAGCCTACTTACAAACATCAGAAACAAACATCATAGAAGCCTATTACAAACATCAGAAACCAACATCAGAAACAAACATCATAGAAGCTTACTACAAACATCAGAAACAAACATCATAGAAGCCTACTACAAACATTAGAAACACAAGTCAGCTTTTGATGTAGTGATATAAATTTTTTTGATAAAAAAAAATTATCATTAAATAACATAATAATATAATAAAATAATATAATAAATAACATAACTTAATAACTAAATCATAAAACTAAATTACAAAGATAACAAGATTCTTTCTACTTTTCATGCTTGTTCTTTGTAAACATAAACAACTTTTTACATTAAAAAAAAAATTGGTTTTTCATTATTCTCACCTTTTATTCAGTTCTCTGACTCAAACATTTGTCAGTACCACTTAGGTACTCCCATTACCATATGGTATACTTAGGTTGTATTGACAAAGAGAGGCAGAATTTTCAAAGCACTGATAAGTATTTTTTAGGGGAAGGGGGAGCAATCTTACAGCCATAACACAGCTAAAAGTGTAGATACAATGAGTGTAGTCTATTCATAATATACCAAAGTATAATGTAATTTAATATAAATACAGTTTAAATTATTCATATTAAATAAATAAAAATAATTAAAAAACACACATTTTGAGCGATTTTCTTTCCTTAAAAGAAGCTTTTTTATTGCATCTGCAATGCATTCTCCAAGTTTCCTTATTTCTACAGGTTTTAGCTTTACTGCTTGAAACTGTTAACCTCTCACCAAACCACCATCTTGGCTGATGCAGCCTATCAGAAACTCTCACTATTCCAATTCTCTGTTTAACATCATGGTTACTTTTCTTAGCTTTTAAAGTCACACCACACATCTTGTTCTTTCATGACACTGGTCATCTTCAACCTTTATTTCCCATGTTTCACTGCCATGCATCATAAGACTCTAGAGGTTTGTGGTACTTTCTTTTAATCTTTAATGATGCACCTCTTGCTGTTAGAAGTAGAAATAACTCACTAAATTTGACACAGGTACACCTTACTCTTGCTTTTAATGCCTCTTTGAATCCACTAGCTGATCCAGTTTATACCTCCAAGATAACAAAATTTACCAACAAACTCTTTTTTACATTACTATTTATTTCAATCTCTCTCTTGAATTTTCTAATGTCAATAAATATGTTTTATACACTCAAAACTTACATAATGCATTCTTCTTTTGTCTCTGCAAATTAGTTCAGTAAACTAACAATGCACTAGCCTACAAATGTTTGAAGCATTGCCAGTAACAATATTTCTTCAAGAAATAAAATCAGGTTTAAATGCACAATTTGGAGAATCCAACGAAAGTGCAGACTATTTCAATTGGGATAGTAAATACAATCAAATATTTTATATTTGAATATTAGTAAAAATGATTTTTTATTTTTTTTTACATGAAAAACTTGCATAAAATAAATAGCAATTAGTTTTCTTGCTTTCATGAGCATTGATTTAAAACAGTAAAGTTTAGCAAAAACATTTAAAAACCCAATTTAAAAAATGTCCATATTTATAGCGCAAATAATAAAGTATTTCCTTAATATACAACTGACAAAGTTGTGAACAAATTGTATATCAAAAAATTATTTTGTTTGCGTTATATTCTTATCTGCTTTTTTCCTTGAATTGGATTAATTTTGAAGGTGGAAAATAACAAACACCATAAAGAAAAATAAAACAAATAGTAAAATATTCAGAGATATTATTTTTTTGAAAAAAAAATTTTTTTTAATTTTTAATTTTTTTCAGTTTATTTTATTTAGACTTTTTATTTCGTATAGTATTTGTTTCAATTCTTCAAGTTTTGCTGTTTTATTCTCTGTTGTTTTTTATAGCTTTATTTTGCGACAAATTCTTAAAACATTCACTAAATAAAAACTTGTTCAAATTGTCTAAAAAAATTTAAACATGGACGCACAAGGCTACTCCATGTACTTCCTGGGAAGGCTTATTCACTGTAGTAAACTTTATTCCAACTAAACTTTTCATTTAGAAATTTTTAAGATAAGCATTATTTTTTATCTCAACCTCGATAATATTTTTGCAGCTTTAATACAGTCTTCTTCAACAAAATTTCTATCTTTACATTTGCTTTATAACTCTGAACATTGCATTTCTTTTGCCCTCTAAATCTAGAATCTCAAAAAGAAATTTCTGCTTATATGAATAAGCTTTGTATACAGAAATTTTTGCCATAAACTTATCCAAGCAATACAAAAGCCTGTCTACTTCATTCTCAAACTTTTACTACATTTTTTTAAACTTCTTATTTTCTTCTATAACTTGCCTACTTCTACATTCTACTGCAATGATAACTTATGTCACTGAAGACCTTTTTTTTCCACTGAGGACCCTTTTTATTCCACTGAAGACTCTTTGCACACTTTATCAGACACTTC